AGCTTAAAAAAATACATTTAACTGGTGGTTACCCAGCTGCCTCTCATTTAATTACAGTTAAAATTAACCATGACCTTGTTTGGAACAGAAACTGTGTGTTTCAGAAGAAATCTTTGAGCGTTGAACCAGTACTCACCCCACAGTGATATCGAAGATATTGCTGCCCACGGAGCTGGAGACAGCCATGTCCCCCAGCCCCTTGCGTGCCACAATGACGCTGGTGATGAGGTCGGGGATTGATGTTCCTGCTGCCAGAATGGTTAATCCCATAATTTCTTCTGATATCCCAATTGTTTCACCAACCTAATACATGGCAACAAAATACAATGTTTGTTATTTCTGAGACATGGAATCTCATTGTTAATTTTCTAAGTTTTGTGCCATATTTGAGATTTTTTTTTTAATTCTCTTAAGTGTAGTAGCACTTATTTTTCCTTTATATGATGGGAAAAATACACTTTACAGTTTATAGTGATTTTAGAGCAACTGTGGAAGGCACAGTGCTACCAAGACCAAGCGATACCCTCCTCTGTGTGAAGTCCACCTATTCCACAGAGGAAAAGTAGACATCCTAATTGAAAATGAATTATGTATGATTGGAAGGCACTGGGAAACTATAGTTTGTAGATTTATGGCTTGACCAACTGCACTGTAAATGTGCATTGTATCTATCACTAAACATACATGGTAGATATTATTTCCCAAAACACAAGGCAAATATTAAGGCAATGGGAGGTGAGGTCATTTAGCAGCTTGCAGAATTAGAACCTGCATTTTGCTAGAATTTTAATTAGGTAAGGATAATTATGTTCTGCACAGAAATGTTCATCAATGGAGAGGAAGTAGGAAGATAAAATTTATCTGTTCTTTTCACTAAGGCACAAATACCCAGGGAAGCTCTTGAAAAAGAATGACTCTTTGTCAACCTGAAAAGAATGAAATCGAAAATTCCCTCTGGGTTGTAACAAAACAAAGTTTCTACTGTTTTGATGGATGACTGTAGCTGTAATTCATCAGATGGACTACCACAGTGATCCATTGTTCCCTATATCCCCATTTCCTTGCTTTTTTGACAGTCTTTGTGCAGAAAGAAAATAACCCCCTCACCTGGTGAGCCCACCACACCATGAGGTAAGAGAACACTGCAATCCAGATGATGGATCCAAAGAATGTGATGACAAAGAACTTTTTGGAGTCCTGTAAAAAATAATTTTGAAAAGAAAAAGATTGAGAACTTTCAGGAAGGTAAGCAAGCCCTATGAACTATTCAGCTAAAACACTTCCAGGCAACCAACTAATGTAATACAGCCCCTTGTCACTACTATGATTGTCTTTGGGTTTGTCACCTTGATTTAGATGACCAAACCTTGCTAGGATTGGGACATCTCAAGTCTCCAGCTGTGCTGCAGCTGGGGCTCCTTCCCCAGCTCCTGCAGCGCTGTCAGGCATTCAGGTATGCAAAGACCCCAGACACGGGGGAAAGAGACACCGTGGCTTCCAGGGGAGAGGAAATCTCTAGTTCAGTTAATGAATCTAATGACAGAAGGAAGATGGATTCTTACTGGGTTTCTAACATCGGGTATAGTGCTCCAGAGCGGGAAGACAATGGGAAAAAGGAAAAGGTAAATAGCTTGTTTCTTCCTGGTTTCTGGCCATTCAAGAGATAACGGCTCATCGTTTTCTTCATCATCTGTGCTGCTGTCACTGTCTTCCTCGGTCTCAGAGCTGCTCTCTTCCGAGTCCCCGCTGTCTGAAGAATGCTGTGGTTCAGAGAAAAGCCCATTTGTTTCCACACTCAAGCAGCTTCACAGCCTTTATTCACTATTGCTTTGCCTTGGGAGAGTTCACCCTTGCAATTACAGGGCATCCAGAGCCCATATCTGGCTCTTGGGGGACAAAATCCAGGCACCCTCTATCCCCCTTACAGCTGCCTGTGTAAGTAACTAGTTCGGATAATTCAGCTAGACTCAGCTTTAGCTTTTTGCCATAAACATTTCCTGTCTGGCTTGGAGAACACCCACTGCTGATCAGAACAACCCACTGATTTCACTTGAGGTGGGAAACAAAACAGAAACACATATTAATTACGACATGCAGGTATTCATATCGTCTGCTATGTTTGATAGTAACTAAGTAGCCCTCTGACCTCAGTGGAGCTATTTGCGGGGGAAAATACAATGTTGTATCAGTAAGGGGTCATATTTTGGACCTGGCTTATTGCCTAAATAGTTGAGCTATCCCTTAAATTAGCTCTGAGGTATGTTTCCTCATTGCAAACACAGCCTATTTATACCTGCTGATTACAGGAAACAAGTTGGATCCTACAGCAAAAGCTCTGGAGGGGAAGGGAAGGGAAGTGCGTGTGTGACACTTGGCCTGCACTGAGATCTCATGATCTCTGTGATCCTTATTTAAATACCTGTCCGTCCTGTGCTGCGTCTGCCTGGTGTTTGTCCTTGCTGGGTTCGGAGTCACTGGCAGGAATCACTTGAGGAGCGTTTGCTGATTGGGACCCCTTTTCCTCGTCAGCTAGAAAGGGTGAGAAGGTGGGAGCGGGTTAGGCCACGGTGGGGGTAAAGCCATCACCTTCCCCTTGCTCGTCTGGGAGGTTTGCATTTCCTGCAAAATTGTGCAGCATTTCAAGCTAAATCCAACCTATTACTTTAAAGTTCGATCTGTCCTAGTCTGCTGTGGGTTGTGGCTAGTAATGCAAGTGGAATCTGGCCCATTTGGCTTTGAATTAATGCCATCATAGGAGCTTTTACCCATCCAGCTATCACTGTTGTTACTTCTGAAACTGCAGAAAGAGGCGCATGCATAAGAACAGGGAAATGCTAATTATCTGTTCTCTAACTGATGAGCGTTTCCAAGTTCCAGTCTAGATTCTGCAGACTTTATTAAAGCCATCCTTAAAAGCCAGGAGGGATGTGTAAAGCTTTGCTTCACTTTCCAGTGGTGCTGGGCAGTCTCCAGGGAACTGTTATTCTTGGAGGCTTCTGAGAAATTGCTGTTTTGTGCTGCCAGATTTTAACTCCTAATCATTTGGTACATACTCAAATGCAAATAGGAAAGTGCTGACACATACAAGGAAATAACTGCAATGTCCTCTGTGCTGTTCCTGTATTAACCTGCATAACCAAGAGGGAGCTGGAAACCTCTGCACAGGGTAGTATTGGAGCACGAGTAACGCACGAGAGGCGATGCACACAGCAGGAGCAGTCTTCTCTGCTGCTGCAATTTAGCTTAAGGGATGCCCTCTAGATATGTCAAGCTGTCAGGTCAGTAAGCTTATGTTATTCTATGTACTGTGCCCAAATGTGGACTTGTTGGATATCTTATTCTGTACAGGGTAACCTGCTCCAGTGTCTAGAAGGGAGTTTTGGGCATGTTTTTGTGTCACTGGGCAAGGACAGTGTTGTGAGATGCTCAAGTGACTTATACTGCAGCTGTGTGCTTGTGAAGGTAGGACCACCCTATAAAAGTTGCCTTATATTACAAAGTCTCCAGATCTCCGCATCAGCACAAACGCCCAGTGTGTCAGTAATGAAACAGAAAAGCAAAAGCTATTATAAGGGAGGATGCACGAGCCCTTAGAATGGGTGTAGACAATGTCAGCTCTTCTCATGGAGGAATTGGACAGCGCTGTTGCATAAGTATGCTAAATTTCTAGGCTGAAACAGGTATGTTGCTGTAAAGAACGCTTAGTTTGCAGGGGCATGCGGCTGCTGTATGTAACGGCCTGGTTTTCCCTCTTCCACCCTTCTGAACGTAACTTACACTATCTCCTTGTAGCATTTCTGTTTAGTCCTTTACTAACTGCTCCTAGACTCTTTTATTGCCCCCTGCTAATGTATGTTGAATGATTTCTGCTGTGTTACAGCAGGTTCTGCGATTAATGATAGAAAACTTACACCGTAGTGTTTCTTTGATAGTCCTGGGGTCTTTAGGGTTGGGAAGGGGAGAAGACACCAAGTAAAACAAGGCAAACAGTGCTGGCTTTTCTTGTGCTCACCTTCTGGTTTTGATCCTTGCTTGCTCGTAGCATCTGCCTTAGCATTGGCCAGGTTGCTTAAGATGTCAACTTTGTCTTTAAATTTTGCTGTGAATGAGAAGGATGTCATCAGTTGTCAGCTATGGTACCACCACACAGATATTCTCACACTATTCTTCCACTGAGTTGCGGTCAATTCTGGCTTACGAGTTGTCTTTCTGGCTGTGGCTTGGCTGCTTTTAATGGATCATAATTGCTATATTTAAATACTTAGCAAATTGCTGGCGTAATTACCATAATACTAGGCAATCAGTACATTCCTACTTCAAAAGAATCTCCGGGGAAGATGGAAGCCTTTCCAGTTCAGTAATACAGGAGATATCTGTTCATCAGAGGGAGCAGAAAGAAAGAATAGAGGAAGAATTTTGATGCAATATCATTTTGTTCCCAAAGGACTGTTGATTTTTGCTCAGACTTGATTACACGCAAGCTAAAAATGACACCTTCCTTCTGCCATGTAGCTGCTGAAGAGGCTCTACTGTGCTGCTTGCAGCCTGGCAACCTGATGGGAAGGAACAAGAAAAGCCTTTTACATTGCAGTTATCTGGAAAATTATTGATTTAGCCGCGTCTCTGAAAGTGTCTCCTCTGCCAGAGTTAATCCAAGTTCCAGGTATCCAGGTTCAACATGGTCCAGGCTATTCTGCTAAGGGCTACCCAGGAAACGAAATTTTCCCCAGTGCAGTGCCCAGTCATATATTTCTGGGATTATATGTCACATATTTCTGAGATTATAATCATGTATTTCCAGGGATTATATAAATTCTGCGACTGGTGGGGACTTCTCCCCCTGTAATCTGTGCTATGCTCCTATGACCTGCTTTATTTGACAGTGACTTGTGAAACAGTCTGCCCCTCCATAGTTGGATGTTAGATGTTGTCCCCACATGTTTTACCTCCCGCTGCCCCAGTCCGTGACCAAGTCATGGGCTCAAAGCCCTGCTTAAATCTCCATCCTCCGTTGGGGGCTGGCTACCTAGTGGTGAAGAGGAGGCTCACGGGGTTTGTACATGGACGGTAGCCACAAGAATTTGGCGCTTTTCATAGAAATGGAAGGCCATGCTCTGCTTGGCTTGCATGTGGGACTGTAAATTAAATCTGTCTGAAAGCTTTATCACTGCTTTAATCTGCAATACCGTTGACTGTGCAGCAAGAATTTGTTGATGCCCTTTGTCTCAAGGACAGGGCCCTGTTGCTTTATTCTTCACCATGATACTGAGTCAATAGGAACAGAAAGTATAAGGCCCTGAGCCCTGTGGGCAGATCTTCCATGACAATCGGAGCACTCTGGATATCTGTGCAGTAACTGGGACTGGCTCGGACAGGCCCTCCCCTCTGACTGTCATTGACCAAAAAGAAAATGCTTTTTGTTCACTAATTGTTCATTTCCACTGAAAACAGCAGCGGCTGGAGAGAGATGGACTGCTGAGGCCTTTGCACGAGGAGGAAAGACTGGGAAGGCTCCTCTCCACTTCAGCGCCCTGGATTGGCTTTGAAACCTGCTCGAGGGGATGCGAAGCGTTCTGAAGCACTTTGTCTCTACCTCTGCTGATGCTGAGTGCATCAGAACAACAGATCGAGACCCTCCGGCCTCCTCCTCTAAGCCCTGGGCAGCAGCATCTCTGCTCAGCTGGTCCCAGGAGCTGCTGCAAACGCTGCTGTCAGCAGGGTCAGGGCGGTCAGGCCCGGCCCAAAGGGATTATATAAATTCCAGCTCCTGGCTTCGTGCCTTCTCCTAGGCTGCGAGCACAGAGCGGTGGAGCCTGTGGGCATCTATCAGGATAAATGGATTAGGTTCAGGCCGCTACCCAGCTCTCATGAGATGAGCATCACTTAAAAAGGTGTTAACTCCCCTGACACACATTTGCTGCAGGGTGAGCTGAGGTTGCAGGAAGGGGTGGCTGTGAGTGGGCCAGACCTGAAGGTCAACGGGGGAACGGAGGAGAACTGTGAGCTCAGGCCCTGCCAGCACCAGGGTTTAACCCAGCCCTGCGAGCAGGGCACTGAGGACACCTGGCAGCCACCGTTCAGGCCATGGCCAAGGGGGACATCACGGGGAAGAGCTGAGGTGGCCTTCAGGCAGGCGCCTTCCCATAAACCCAGAGCATCTAGGCTGAGCTTGAAGTTGGAGTTTAGTTTCTGTCTCGAGTTTGACCCTTATAATTTCCTTAGATGTAATCCAGCAGGATTAATTTATAGCACGGACTTGAGGATTTTTTGATCTGATGGTTGGACTGCAGTATGCTCTGGCATGCTACAGAAAGCTGGAGATTTCAGAAATGAGAAGGTCCATCAGTCACTTCCAAAATTTGCATTCTTAATCCCCCAACAGTTCCCTCCAGTGTCTACCTAAAGAATGACACAGTTTTTTTACCAAAAATATAATTCAGGAGGTGATGTAAATATTAGAACTTGTAAAGCAAAAGGCCCAGTCTGCTGTGAATAGGAGAGAAAAACAGAAAATCCAATGAAAAACTTTCCTAATACAAAAAGGAAAATAAGTATCCTGAACTTAATCCGCTGTTCTGATGAGTAGTTGTTTCACAAACAGTGTGGTAGGGCAATGAAGCTTGTGTTTCTGCACTTCTACTTTCTTTCTAAAATACCAGCCCCTGGAAGCTGGTTTTAGAGGCACAGTTCTGGCAGTGAATTGGACTCTCATTACCCTAAGGAAGCTTCTATGCTCAGAACTAAATTGCAGCTGCAGCATAAGAGCGAGAACCCTGCGGGCATCGCTTCCAGTAAGGTTAGCTAAAAGCTGATCAGAAATAGTTGGCCATCATTTTCTTTTGTAGAGCGTTCTTTACCACAGCCTTTAAATGCTGATGCTACAGGAGCTGGCAAGAAAAGGGAACAGGATCCTTGAGGACAGATGCGATGATCGTTTAGGCTGCAGCCTAATTACAGGCGCGTGTCTGATTCAGACACTGCTGTAGATGCTGCAAGGAGAAGGAATCGGAGGGTCATCTGTGAGAACCAGGCACTCTTCCAAGGGCTGCAGTCCCATTAACATGAAGGCAGAGCTCAGAGTCCTGATGTGGCTTGAAAGGGTCAAATCCTCCCTTTTCCAGTGACATCCTAGGGAAATTGCTTAGTCTCTTTGGCTGAGATCCTCAAAGGCACTTAGGTATCTCAGTCTATTCAGAAATAACTCCTCTTCCCTGTGCTCCCTTCTCTTTTAGGTATGAATTTACCATGGCAAGGAGTGTCTCCAGCTATACACAGGGCTTGGCACACCGTGTCCTTCCTTTTGAGAGCTGTGCTGTTGTGATAGCTGTAATTTTCTTTACCGTTATCTTGTCTAAGCAGCTGTGGCAATGTTTAGCACTGCAGATGTGTACCTGGGACAGAGACTTAGTTGCTTTAACTGAGTTGCCTTCTTGCAGCAAAGGGTCTGTAAAATAACAACCTCTTTCTTCATAGTTCTACTGTCATAGCTGGGACTTGGGTGCATGTGGTCACACTCCCATCTAGTGGCTGCAGCTTCAGGGACAAAAACCCCAAGGCAGAAAGGCTGGGGCAGGTGGGCACTGCCAGCACTTCGGAGGTGGTGGCAGGTGTCCCCAGCTAGAGCACAGAGAGGTGCCAGGAGCACAAGAAGGTTTTGGAGGGTCTCCTTGAGCGGCAGCAGCCCCTCAGTCCTGGTGCTTCCCTGGGGTAAATGAAAGGGCAGGTTGGTCCTCTCATAAAATTTTATTTCTCATCTTATGCTGCTGTTACCACCTTTCTGGGGAGCAAGGCAGCCAACCTGATGAATCTGGCCCTTGCTAGGGTGCAGCTAGCAATCCAGTGCATGTTCTCACCAAAATTTGTCGGAGCAGACACTTGTCTGTTTTGCTGTCCTTATTGAGCCTTCTTTGTTCACTTGATCAGTTTTTGCTGCTGGCAATTTGATCTGGAGAGTCCTTTTTGTAACCTCAGTGATAGACACGAGAGGTGTTTATCCGCTTAGCTTCAATCTCTCTTTGCATGGTGCAACAGATAATCCCTTTAGAACAAGTAGGGCAGTGGAGGGACATGTGCTGAACTACAAAAGAAAACTAAGAAAATCTACCTTTTAACGTGCTTCTCCTTTGCTTGAAAAATAAACCTTCATCCTGTGTTTGAATTGAAGTTCATACCAAGCAGCTTGTTAAAGGTTTGGGGATAGCGACTCTTGACCAGGCTGGAGATCTGGGCAGTTTAGAAGGAAACGTCTCCCAGTCGAATGCTCATCAGTCCCCACCTGGACCCTGGGTTTGGCTCATTGCCTGCAATGGGCTGCGGGGGCTGTTTTTGGTAAAAACTGTGTTGCAGGTGGGCTTTCAGCAGGGTTAAACTGAATATGCATCACAGATTCTCCCTGGACTATATAAAGGCAATCTGTTTTCCTTCCCCCAGCAAGATCTGGCTGGTAGCAATTTTTGTATGCAGGTATTTGGCTTAACCTTCATAAAGGGAAACTGCTGTGTGTTTAAAACTCAGCTGGGATCTTAACCATTGCCAAAGAGAATTCCTAAAGGGTTTTGACTTCCTCCTCTTCTAGCTGAGCGCACATATGAAGAGGTAATGGGTTCTCCTTGTGCACATGTCTTTTAAAAGTGAAGCTGAGAGTTTGAGCCAGCTCTTCCTCTTTCTTGGAAAAAAAATACATATATATATATATACATATATATAGGCAGAACTGAATGTTGCTATTCCAGGACCAGAGATCAGGACTAAGGTAGGAAAGTGCAAATCGGAGCTAGCCAAGTGACGTAGTATGAGCTGGAGGAAACAAACAGATCATGTTCCTTGCTGTTCCTGCTGGCAGAGGGAGAGCAGAAGATGGGAGGCTGCAGCAACCATCGCCGCTGGCAGGAGCCCGGTACCAGCAGCTGCTCCACACGATGCTCCTCGCGGTGACAGCAGCAGCGGTCGATGCGGCACCGGCAAAGGCGCATGGAGCAGCTCCTGCCAAGGCCCAGCTGGTCCAGCCGTGTGACCAGGAGGGTGTCCTGGTGGGGCAGAGCTCGTCCCCACTAACATCATCTGCGCTGCCACATTCCAAGAACGTTTCCCTGAGCCCTCACTTAATGCGTCTAAAGGCTGTAATCTTATTTCGAGTGAGGCCGCTGTTACTAGAAATGACTGTTACTTGCTAGAGAGGTAGAAATCTATTGATGGCATAATTAGCTTATACTTTAAACATCTACAAACTCTGCCAAAAGCTGTATTGCCATGCTGGGAAATATGAGGAGATAAAAAGTATTTCATGAGAAAGGCTAGGGTTACAAGCAAGACTAATCTCGCTAGGGAGTGATAATCTGGGTTGTAACTGTAAGGCTCTTAATTTGTTATCAAAGTAGTAACAATTTGCCTACTGAAGCTTATCTGTCTCCTTACAACACTCTAAATTAATTACAACTTGGTAAAAAGAAAACGTCAGTCTTCAAAGCTTTTATAATCTTTCATGCATAATCATTTTTCGGGAAAAGAGTTTGGGACAATAGCAAAAATAGATTTGCTGAAATCTTCATTTTCAGCCTCCTCTTAAGTATTTGCAATTAGACTAGGGTAACAGGAGGGAGGAGAAGGAGAATTGTTGTAAAAGGAGCTCTTGTGACAAGAAATTCCCTGCCTTTTGCTCTGTGCACAGGGCCCTAGTGCAAGAAGGAAGTCCCACAGAGGCCCAGGCTTAGCAGATTTCATTGGTTTGCATCCTGTGGTGCTGCTTTCCACCTGCAGAAACATTGCCCCAGTTACACTGCTCTGAGGCCAGGGCTGTGCAATGAAGCCCCTCTGGTGTGGAGAATCCACTCACCTTCTGCCAGGGGGTCCAGGGTGTAGATCATGAGCTGGAAGATGGTGCTGCGCATTTGAGAGTTGTGTAGGGAGGCTGAGCTGCTGCCTCGCTGTAAGGCCGTCATAGGCTACAGAGCAAAGACACAACACAGCAATCACCACAGGTTCCCTCACAAAACATCTCTGCCAAGTCACCTCTGAGCTGGATGTCTCTGGAGGCTGATTTTCCTAACCCAACAAACAGGTTCCGCATGGATTTCAGCAGCCTCTGCATTCAAGTTCACAGGTTGGTTGTGAGCACTGGCAGTTTAGACTTGCTCTTGAGTCAGCAGGCCACTCTATGCTCAGGTAGGATGGACTAGGATGTTATTACAGATTGTAACAGTCAAAGTGCTTCTAGTTGTCAGCTTATTGATAACTGCAGGTATGCGTGCTGCTGTAGGCAATACTGCAGTCACATCAAGCTTCCTGACTTAACTGGAAAGCTCTGGGGCTCTGCTCTTATGTCAGTGCAGCATATCAGGTCCCGAGGAGCTCCCGACTAGGTTAAGTGCACAGGGGAAAAAATAGCGTCCACACGAGGAAGCTAATACCTGCTGTGTATGTGTGCAGCCTCCGGGTCAGCTAGACCTCTCCATGCAATGGCTGGTGAGCCACTGGGAAGGCAAAAGGTCCGGAATTTACCCAGGAGCAGAGGAATGAGCTCTTCAGCCTGCACTTCGGGGAAGGACAGATCCTACCAGCCACTGCTCTGGGAGCCCAGAGGAAAGTCAACCATGAAACAGGGTAAGAAAAGTTATACTCCAATTTCTCTATGCCCGCTTCATCCTATTTGAAGTGTAGAATGAATAGAGCCCTACTAATCAAATCCATTTGTGTAATCTCCTAGTTTTTAGAAAATTCATTTGAGGACATAAGTCAACCAGATGTCCTACTAATTAAGCTGTGGTTATGGTGCCAAGAGTGGTGGATTCTGTGCATCAAGTAGAATTTGTTCCAGGTTTCCTGACAGGGCAGATGACACGTTTATTCTCTCCCTGATGTAGTGATGGGTTCAAAATACAGTAACTTGAGATACCTCTTGAGTTGCTTAAACTTACCTGCAGCTTCTTCCCATCTGCTGGCTTCTTTGTTTCATCATCTGCAACTGCCCCATTGCTCTCCTGAATACAAACAAGAACAGAAAGTACTGAATGCAATTGCAGCCTCACCAGCTCCTACAGCATCTAATACAGCTCTTCGGGGCAATGTATGTGAGAAATATGGGAATGTATGGGAGTGCTAATACAAATTATTGTTGCATGGAAGCAACTGAAAGAGCCAAAGCTATGTGCCTTCCTCAAAACCTTGTGAGAGGTGAGAGCAGGATTCTGCCTACAGCCCCTCAGTGGGGATGTATGTACTGAGACATGAGTGGCCTCCTCCATCTGATTTCTGTAGGTGGAGGTAGCCCCAGACTTCATATCCTGACCCATTTTCCAGGAGAGGAAGAGAGAAGGTGGAGAAGGTGCAAAGGGGTGTCTTCCTTCACTTCTCGGCCTTACTTTCTATAAAATTCCCCACAGGTTGGATGCAGCAGCTCTGTGTCATGCTGCCATGTGCTAACAAGAGTTCTCTACAAACTCGGAGCACAAGGATTTGCTTCCTTGATGCTGAAGGGCTGGTTCAGTTTGGGATGGTGACGGTGGTGTCTATGGTGATGTATATGTAGGGCATCTTGCAGATGAGTTTCTCCCTGGAAGGTAACACCAGATTTCCAGTTGTCCCAGCCATGAGCTCTAGCTGGAAGACAGACTGCGAGGGGAGGAAAGTACTTTCTCCATTTGCCATATCCTCAAGTATCCTCACCCCTTTTCCCTCCTTTCCTTAAATTATGTGAAGCGAACACCAAGACCAGGAGCAAAACATGCTTGTGTGCCGGTGGTGTATGCCTGGCTAGTAAAACATGACAACACCAGAGGACAATTTGAAATGGAGCCAAATTCAAGGGTTTCTTCCCTAGAGCAGGCAGTAGCCTGGAACAAGGAGGCAGAGGGAGCATTTAGGGGAGTGGGAGCAAGACGGCAGGGTCAGTAAGATGAAGTCCCAAGTGATCTGGATACCAATTGCCTCTGGACACAGCCTTTGTATGAGCAGGTAGTCACCTCTTCCTTTAAAAGGTGGTGAAGTTAAGGTCTCTGCTACACCTGGACAGTGTAGTTTCAGCCACAAATCTCCCTGTCTGAGCACCTGTGGTATGAAGAATTGTGTCGTTGAGCACACACAGCTGTAGTTAACACACAGAAATGGAATTTGGGCATTTGAATATTGTTATCAAATGCTGATTGAGAAGTGACAGCAGTTGCTGAAGGCTGCCAGATCCCCTTCTATGCTGCAGATTCGCTATCAAGTGCTACCAGCAACACCACAGTTGTACACTCAGCTTTAACACAAGAGAATCTTCTTTAACAGCCCTGTCTCATCTGCAAGAGGCTTGGACAGTGTTTCTTATCAGAAACCCTTTTTTCGTCTAGCACAGAAGTGTACAGTTTTGTTCCCAGACTGATAATGTGTTTCTGGATTTTCTGTAGGGTGGTGGTTTTTGTTTTTTTTTAATCCTTTACAATAACTGAGCAAAACCCCATGCCTGTGTTGAAAATAGGTAAGTAGCCCCTCCTGGCATCTTAAATTATCACACAGAGTGGAGTTTTCTCTGATTCCTTAGAATTTCTTCCATCTATATAGCATTTAGCTCACTTAATAATTATTGACCAGCGGCTGCAAAGTTTCATTTCAGTATTCACTTTGTCAAGGAGATGCAGTTTTTCTTTGTTTATGCTAGAATGAATGTCTAACTTGCCCTCTAGATAATGAGGATACCAACCTTCTGCACATGCTCTGCTGATGCTGCCTGCACAGTATTTAGTGTCCTGTTCAGCTCCTGCTTCACCCATTCTTCCAGGTACACGTTGTGTTTCATAGTGAACACGTATGTGGCGTAGGCAGTCAGTAAAAGGAGGCTTTCCCACCAATCAATGACACTGTCTAGGAAAAACAGGATGAGCATCAGTAAGTCTACAATGTAGAATGAGATGTCTCTAAATAAGGGCCACCATGTCAGGTGGAGTATCTCCCTCGAGAAGAGGGCACAGGTGCCAATGACAAAGAGGATATTAAACACTGCTGAGCCCACAATGGTACCGATGCCCACATTGCTGTGTGAGATGAAGACACCTATGAGGGAGGTGAAGAGTTCTGGTGCTGATCCACCTGCTGCCATGAAGGTGGCTCCAGCCACGTCTTCAGAAATCTGTAACTTTTCCGTGATCACTCCCAAGGCAGGGACAAAATACTCATCACACACTATGGCCAAAGCCACAAACACATAAATCATGCCAAAGACGTGAAGTACAACCCACCCTTGCCTGCGTTCTTCCACACTGAATAGGTCCTGCGGATATTCTCCTTTGGATTCATATTTTGGCTTTTCCTCAGGGTAGCTTGCACTGATATTTTCCTCCCGGGGTATTGTATCCCCTGATGCAGTGATGGGCACAGTCGGCTCAGGATCCAGATATATACAGTGCCTTATCTTGGGAGCTGCTGTGCCATTGCCTGTCCTGGCAGTCTTGTTGCTGGGGAGGTCCCTGGAGGTGACTTTCACAGGGTCCCCAGCCTGGGGGCCCGTGTGTGGTGTTGGAAGGGCAGCGGGGCTGAGCTGGAGCCGATAGAGAGCGAGGGCCAAGACTGTGGCAAGCAAGAAAAAGATCCGCTTCCGTTGTAGCCGCCTTCTCCGTAGTAAATGCATTTCCCAAAGGTTCAAACACCAGGTGTGTGTCCAGAAGCCGCTGAAGACTTCTTCTGATCAGCAATGTGCACTTACGTCCACCATTGGAGCTTCTAGCTGGTGTCAAGCATCAGGAGTGAAACTGCATGACATAAAGTGTAGAATCCTGCAAAAGAAGGTCTAGTGTGAAAAATAATGTACAACCACTTCCCCATTCTGCAGGCAACACTCTCTCAGTGAGCACCTTTCCATTTTCAATAAAAAGAAATAGATCTAAGCTCTAAAGTCAGATCTAGACCCAGATTTCAATCTTTTTTTTCTACTGGAGGATATGCAGGAGGATAGTTGTAGGTCTGGCTTAACAAAGAGGAGTGCGTGAAGATTGTTCGATAGCTCCCAACCATGCTGCCCTGTGCGTTTCCAGCCTTGTGTTTCCACAAAATACAAGCCAAGCAAATGGTGAGTTTTCTTTCTTTTTTTCCTTTCAATTTGAGAAGTGTAGGAAGAAGATTTGGCTCTAGTAAAAGTCAGGGTGTTGAACATCGATTTGTTTCTATGACTACATCTTTTCAAACCTTTTTGTAGAAATCAAAAGTGGCAAGGTGGAATCATAGTGATTTCCTTTATTGGGGGAAATTAGCATATCTTGAATAATTATTTGAACGGCATTTATAAAGGGAGACAAATTGTAAATGCCAGAGTGACAGAGCCCACATATGTGACAGTAGGGACACAGTCATTTGGGTCTGGATAAAATTCACCCTTCAGCAATGCTTGAGTGCTGTACCCTAGAATATCACTCTAATTTCTTTCTTTTTTCCTCCCAGAATGGGACTGTTACATTATTCTGGAGCTGAATATGAATCAGTGTTGTAAGCCCTTCTCAGTTAAGCTCTTCATGCAATTTAGCACACACTTACCCTCTTGCATAACACCCAGTGAAGTAATCAGCCTAAATTTCTTGCAAGACAAGCATTATTATCTTCTTTTACATAGTTGGGAGGATCATTAAGGCAAGGGTTATTGAGGGTCATGGGAGTACCTAGATGAACAGGTGATAAAAGCTTTGCTTTGGATATGTAAAAAGTACATGAGTATGCATATGGCAAATTGCATAATACAATACGTACAACAAGTTATTAGGAAATAACTCTTCCTAGTAAAAATGAAATGAAGAAAAGCAACAAGAAAGAGAACAGAAAATACATGTACCTATTCCTCTTTAAGCATGCTATTTTACTTCTCTCTAAAATGAGCCTCCTGGAAGACTTTTTGCAAGCAGAAATATATCCAACACTAGAATGAACTGCAAGAGCTCCAGCGGAACCAGCCCCCTTGTTTCTCTAGTCTTGTAAATATATTAGGTCTTTTGTAGAGTGTATTCTCTTTTAGGAGTATTATCCTGATCGAGTCCTTTCACCCTGGTTAGACTGCTTCCATCAAGATAGATCTCTCCCAGTCTTAAGGATGTGCACATCTTACCTTCAGAAGATGCTGCTCAAGAGGAAGGGGAGCATCAAGGGTTGTGAGTAGTGCTGGATGCTCCTTTGGTACTTAACAGCCACAGGGGAGATGCTGGTGCAGAGAGAGGCAGATAAAAATGATCCCATTTTCACTATGCCTCTCCCAGCTAAATTCTAATACAAGAGAGGGTCAGGTGTGAAGGGCATATTATTGGAGGAAGGGCCAATCCAGTTTAATACCTGCAGTCCCTAAGAAGATTAAATAGTATTGCATAGGTTTGGGTCCGTCTCTGAAGCCAATATCTTTGTCTGCTGCTACAGGTTATTCTCATTATCAAGGCAACTGATTATCTCCATTACAGTCGACAGAAGAAAAGCATCTACTTGAATAAATGTGTTCTTCTGATGGCAACTCTGGAGGACAGTCCACTGCTGGGGTAACTCAATAGCTCCTCTGCATAGAGCATGGTCACCTCAACATGATATTTTCATGCTTTTCCCTACTGTTTTCAGGCTGTTTTGTACAGAGCTTCAGTTTGAAGTACCTCATATGGAAGACAGGCCAGGCAGGCAGCCCTGCTGGACCGACCTTTGCTGGCCTTTGCCAGCAGATTTCAATCTGCTTTGTGCTGCCAAAAGCAGGCTGAAAACTCTGGAAAAAGCGCTGGGCATCCCCATCACGGAGGCACAGGGAGGGCTGCAGGGCCTCGAGCGCACCCAGAGGGTGGCATCAGTAAGGACATCATGGCCCTGTTGTGGCACGGCCCTGCAATGAAAGCAACAGTGTTAACAGCCAAGGATTTTGTAAAGCTCTAATCAGCTGTTTTATCACATGGGAATGATAAAACTGTGATTTGCTGCATTTTGGGGAAGAGTCCAGGAGCCAATTGTGATGCTTTTTCTTAATTTATTTTCTATCCATAATAATCTCTATTGTATGAGAATTTTTCATAATACTGGTATCTAACTGAGCTGCTCTTCATAATGCATGTAGTATTGCAGTTTTAAGGATGAAAATGCCATTTTGCAATTGTTCAACATGTCATGAATTTCAATTTCAGGTTAAAATGATTGTGGTTAGACACTTGTGCATCAGAAATCAGAGTATTTGCAGGGTCCAAGTGATCAGTTTCCCTGTCTGATTTTTTCCCACTGATTACTTTGCCTTCTGATGCACTTTTGTCATGGAGAATTCATGTTTATGTGTACATTATTTTGGAGGGGTTCCTTGACCTCATGAAACCAGCAATTATAAATGATCTGCTTTTATTCAACTCTTTTTACTAGCCCAGTTCCATATCCAAGAAGCAGCCTTCCACTGTGTTCCCTTGACTTCCATTTCAAGGTAACTTTGAGCTGTCCTTGCTGCTGCCTGGCTTTTGCAATTAATGGCATCTGATGACAATTTTCTTAGGCTTCCTTGGAGGGGGTGGGGGGGAAGAAAGCTTTTCATCATTCCAGACAGGAGCGCTGTAGAAAGGATTTCAAAATTTCCTAGAAATGTAGAAGTTGCTTGCCTCAACAAGGATTTTATCTGCTAGCTGGTTCTCAGGCACTTTGGGGAGGTTTTCAGATACCGTTCTCATTCTGAAGGTTGGAAATGTTTCATCCATGCGTTTCACTCTAGTTTTAATTCCTTCTGACCGTTCTTGAATTCTGAAAGTACTTTCCTGTTTAGTCTGCTTTAGTTCAACAAAAATGTCTATTTGCAATTTATTTTTTAAGGCGGGGGGGAAAGAATCCTCAATGTGAACGGGACCTAAGTGTTTCTGTAGCCTTTGGACAGCAGGATGCTGCAGACTGTTTCAAGCAGAACAGGCTAGTGTTGGATCTGGATGCAATCCCGGGAAGTTAGAAAGGTGCCGCAAAGCCCTGATTGCCTGAACAGGGAAAACTAACAGTCTGAGGGGATCGGATCCCCTTATGGTGCCAGATCTCTCCGGGCACGGACGTGTTTTGGTGTTGCCGGGGTTTGTTTTGCAGAGGCAGATACGTGAAGGCCTTAAGTTCCATGGGGTCTTTATAACAGACCTTAACTGCCACAGGGTCTTTATAATTTGGGACATAAAACAGACCACTTAAATAATGCTGTGTGCTTGGCAGGGAGATTGTGACAGCAAACAGCGCCAGCTTACCTGGACCCCTGGCTCTGCCTTGGTTTAAATCCCGGATCACACGTGTGGAAAGGGGAGGGCTGCAGGCCGCGCTGGAGCTCCCCGATGTCCCTAAACCTCCTGCGTTTCGGGGCCAAAGCGCTCGCTGTTGTCCGCACGGTGAGGGACAGGCGGCTCCCCGCCAT